TTAACTCAAATTCTCCGTTCCGCCAACTTTCATAAGACCCTTTATGAGAAAACTGGAACAAATATTTGATGCAGTCCAGTGCTTTAATTCTTCAATTAAGTCTCGCTGGACAACAGGCGGCAAAAGGTACTTAAAAAGGGGGGAATCGGCAGCAAAAGTCACTTAAAAAGGGAGAAGGGGCGAAAAAACACCGAGAATCACTGCTCTACAGCAATATTGCCTAAGCTCAGACTGGTTTTACGACTCCCCAAAATGGAAAAGTGAAAAATTTTGCATATATAACATTTTCAAAAACAGAGGCATCAGAAAGAAGCTCAAAAAGGAGAACTCTACAAAAAGCTATGACCAGGGCAGTAAGGCTGTTGATGGCTCCATCTTTCGCTTAGAAGTAAACAGGTAGCAATTTTGCTTTTTTCATGCGCTAGTAGCAACTTTTCTACAAAACGAATCATCAACGGAGTAACTGCCCCACTGGGGAACTAAACTATTAGTCTGAGAGAAACGATATTTCTCATTATGCTAAACTAGTTAGAAGGTAAAATATCAGTTCATTAAAAAACAAATTATAAATGAGCTGGACTTAACTGTTATGCGCCAGAGGGCATTTTACGATCTGGTTAATCTGTGTTTCATCCCTTAGCTGCAAACACACACCAAACTATGCATGCAGGTAGGAGCGGAAATCATCAGCACAGCTTCTTACCCACCGTGTTCTGAACAGTCATGTGACTAGTTTGCAAGACGGATATGCGAAAGAAAGAGAAATCAGAGAGAGAGAGAGAGCAAGCACAGTGAGAGAGGAGAGAAAGTTAACTCATGATACGGACAATCATCATATGTCATTTATGAGGAAATGTTTTTTTTTTATGAGAATACCACGCTAACTAGGCGTTTAATTCCCGAATCAACGGGGAAGATGAATTTGCTGAGTACTGATCGGTTCCTGAAGCAGGACCATCATTTCCAAAGAAAAAAGCAGAACAGCCGTATTGAAAAGTAGATCGAAGAAATGGCGAAATCGAACAAAACACTATCGAAACGAAACCTACGTCTGAGTCGAACACAGGAAACATCTTCTTTAGCAAATTCCCATCATTTTTCCAGACCATACGGAAATGTTCACGCAATTCGGCACCACGCCAAGCAAGCTTATCACAATTTCCGTTCGTCACCAATGCCATTTGCTCTTTCAGGGTTTGCTGGGCGGAATTTGTGAATGAACCATATGCGGTGCCTTTGCCAATCATGATTTTTTCATCCTCCTCCTTTTTTCCATCTTCATCTGTTCAGAGAGGAAAAAAAATTTTTGCATATCAAATTAAATCCTTATTTGATCAAGGCTAAACCTCAAGAATCAATGAGAAGGGAAGTATTAGGATCCCGAATTTATACAGCAATCATCAAGTTTTCAAGATACACACAGAGAAAAAGAGTGCGAGAGGAGGGGAGGGGTTGTAGACCTTTATCAATGTACGCTTTTATATTTGCATAAATTAAAAAAAAAAAAAGCAAAAAAAAGGAACTAACCAGAGTCAACTTCCTGGGCCTCGATATTCTCGATGTTATCAAGAGGTGTCGCCCTGACAGGCTGGCCCTTTTTCAGAATTTTCGCTCTTTTTATATTGCTCGCTCCACTAAAATCGATGAGAATGCATCGATCCCCATCATTTCGGAGAACTCCGTTGCTCCTGCTGCACAGCGTACAACGTTGTCGTCGTTTAAACTGAAAAAGTTGAAGAACAAAATGTAATTCGAGAGCGACACTGAGAGATGGCCTTTCAAAGCACTCTCGTTTTTGGTAAAAACATGGAATTGCACTGAACTGAAGAAGTTAATTTTGGAAAACCAATGTTTTTACTATTCGTAATGCTCAAATCTCAATTCTCAATATTCCCAAAATCTTCATTTGTGTCGAAGTAAACATCCAACTGGAGGTGGGAGAGCGGGAAGGGGAGGGGAGAGCAATGGGTGTTTCACCCCCAGCGTCACTAGTAGGAATTGTTTTACTGTAGAAAACTCTTTTCGATACCTTTTGTCGCCCCCTCCCCTCTCCGAAAAAAGCCGCCCTGAATCCGCCTATGGATGTGGAGCCCCAGTTTTGTTGGGCGAAAAGCACAAGCCCTGAGCAGATCTATTCCTTAGCTTGCTAAGAAAGATACCTGTTAATTTAGAAATCTGAAAATTTTGGTTCTGATCTTCGTTTACTGACAAAGAAAGATAAAATCCATAAATCGTCTACTGAACTCAAAGCATCGTTTTGTAATGCATACAAACTACAGTTATATACTTTATAGAACCAATCCGAGTTTAGTATAAACCTGAAGTAACACGGTTCCAATAACCGGTATTTCTCAAATTTACTGCAATAAAATACTGTAATGCTTTGTGGAACCCTCACAAATCACCTAATTTCTTAATGCCCTCGGGGTACAGGAATGGGCCCTTACTACAGGGAGTCGGACCACGGACCCGAACTCCTTCACCCACTGCCGCAAGTGCGGGCGCGAAGAGGAAACAGACGACCACATTGTTAGCAGATGTTCGCGCTGGCTGAGCAATCTGTATGGTGTTTCCTTCAGTCAAGGTGTTTTCTTCATTCAAAAATGAAAAGTAACGGCCATCCAAAGGTCGAATCAGAAGTGGACGGTCCAAGTGGGGCGGCCGAAGTGAGTTAAACTGATAAAAAGTTTTTTTGCGATTGTCAGCAGGTCGAACCATAATTTCTGAAGTAACGGCCAGTCTGAACCGTGGGAAATACGGAACGGCCGAAATCTTCAAATTTTAATGTAAGGTAGAATTAGTAAATGGATTATGGTGGGAAAGATCGTAGGGCTGTTAATGTGGTATAAACCGCAGGACATGTTGAAGAGTCATTTGAAGAGGAATATGCAGAAGCAGGTCTTCACTTTGCAAAAAAATTCTCCGCTCATAAGTTTAAAAATCGGGGAGAATGGAAATCAGGCGAAGAACAGACGAGGCAAAAGACGAAAACAACAGCGGTAGTTCATTCAGCATCCAGAAGGATGATCCACCACCAAAAAAAACTAGCCCTTCCAATGAAAAGACTTGAATTCCTGAACATTTGACCCAAACTACAAAACAGTGGATATCTCGAAACACTGTGCAATCACGATTAAACCTAAAAATAAGAAATTTCTGTAAACTTACTAGTTGCTCTTTGCAAAAATTCCGAATCAACGATCGCCTCAATTCCACGCTATTTTTA